AAGTGAAAGCACCAGAAAATAAATTAAGAAATACGCAGCTGTCATCCGTACTCAAGGAAGGNACGACGTTGTAAAACAAGTCAATTCGCTTCGTGAACTCGGCAACCAGGTTCCCGTTTTTTTTGTACCTCTGCTTTTTTTTTGGCGGTAACCATAATGAATGGTGGTCGAGTAGATCATGTTGTGCGAAGTCGAGAACCCTCACTCCGCGCAAGCGGTATGATCGCACCACGTTGTGTTAAAATGGTCAAGCACCCTCGAGCCACTTGCACAGTGCTCGTAACTGTCTCTGAAAGTGAAAGCACCAGAAAATAAATTAATTCATACGCAGCTGTCATCCGTACGCAAGGAAGTAAGCACAAGATGCCGAACACCCTTAGCAGGATGCAGCGCACCCTTCATGCGACTCGCCGAATACCTCACGGCGCTTCGCGCTTGGTCGTGTGAGAGCCTGGTCCGGTGAGAACCCGACGTGCTCCGTCCCGGCTTTCTAGGGATGCGAGGTCAATGGTCTAATGACTACGGCATGCACGACTATGAGTACACCTCCCCCTCCCCGGTTAGACCACGCCCCCCTTCCAGTGTTTGCCATCGGGGTTGGGTTTTCGTCACATGGCAACGACGTTGTAAAACAAGCTCCCCCCCCCCAGTGTTTGCCATCTGGGTTAGGCTTTCGTCGCTTGGCAGCGATATTGTAAAACAAGCCGATCATCACTTCGTGAGCTCGGCAACCAAGTTTCCGCTTATTTTTGCCTTTGTTATTTTTCTTGCGGTGATTTGAATATAATAAAACGAATGGTGGTCGAGTAGATCATGTTGTGCGAAGTCGAGAACCCTCACTCCGCGCAAGGGGAATGATCGCACCACGTTGTGTTCAAATGGTCAAGCACCCTCGAGGTAGTTACACAGTGCTTACAACTGTTTCTGGAAGGGAAGCACCAGAAAATACATTTAGTCATACGCAGCTGTCATCCGTACGCAAGGAAGTAAGCACAAGATGCCGAACACCCTTAGCAGGATGCCGCGCACCCTTCATGCGACTCGCCGAATACCTCAGGGCGCTTCGCGCTTGGTGGTGTGAGAGCCTTGGTCCGGTAAGAACCCGGAGTGCTACGTCCCGGCTTTGTTGGGATGCGAGGTCAATGGTATAACGACTACGGCATGCACGACTATGAGTACCCCCTCCCCCCCCCGGTTCGACGACGGAGGGGTTACATCCTAGCGACAGGGGAAGCCCGTAAAGAGGCATCCAAACTGAGTGGTGAACGGTGGGCGGCCTTCTTCTTGTTCCCTCGATGGATCGGTCTTCAGTGCCTGGAAAGGTAGAAAGCTCACACACTACATCGCCAGCACACACACCCGGCATGCCGCGCACGCATCAAGCTTGTGCGTCAGTGTTCTGGCTGCGGGGTCTAAACCGAAAGTAGACGGGGGTTTCTACGCGTGTAGGTTCCGAACACGGGGCAACTGGAGGCGGACACATCCTGAGCACTTCAACGCAATTGTTCCGCTCGAAAACCGACGCCCGCAAGACGCTTCCGTGTCGGAAAGTCACGTTGCTTCTGAAAGACGAAGGGCCAGGAGACATCACCGGCATGCACGATCGGTTGAAATGGAGCAAGTTCTTCACGTAGACTATCCTGTATTAGACTAAGTTAGACCATCTGACCACTCAATATTGACTCGGTGATCTATAGACTATTATAATGATGCAAGCGTCCTCGCGAAAAACTCCACGCACGGGTTCGAATCCCAGCGGTCCACTTACACAAGAATCACTATATACGTACCATCCAGCGTCTGGCGAGGGGTCCGTCCCCGGAGAGCATCAATCAAGCTTGTGCGTCGGTGTTCTGGCTGCGGGGTCCAAATCGAAAGTAGACGGGAGTTTTCTACGCGTGGAGGTTCCGAAGACGGTGCAACTAGAGGGGGACACATCCTGAGCACTTCAACGCCGTTGTTCCGCTCGAAAACCGACGCCAGCAAGACGCTTCCGTGTCGGAAAGTCACATTGCTTCTGAAAGACGAAGGTCCAGGATACATCACTGTCAGCGTAATTTCGATGTGCACTAGTAGCAGTACGATGCTGCAGATGCCAGGAGGCTGTGTAGCCTACCTCAGAGGTTCACACTGTGCGGCTCCAACCGCGAGAGACTTGGAATGGAAAAATGAAGATGTTTTTACAAATTGCTGACTCCCGAGTCAGATTGATGTTGCTGGTACTGAAGAAGAGTGAGAGGGGTGGCGCGCTTGGGGATGCACCACTCTCCTCGAATACCGGACAAATAAGCCAATCACACGAAAGGTCTAGATAGAATGATTCCAGAATGATTCTGGAAGTCCTCCCACGTTCTAGAAGAGTATCAAGTGCAACCTAGGTCTAGAACGCTTCCAGAAGCTTCCAGCAAGTTCCAGAAGTTCCAGACGGTTTCCAGAAGCTGCACACGTTCTACGTAGATGTCCCGGTTGACCTTACCTAGCATGCTTCCGGAAAATTTCTAGAACAAGAAAATACATCGGAAGTGTTATATACGACACCGGTGTCGTACTTCCTTATATACGACACCTACCATTTCTTGGCCCACAGGGCTCCAATCGGCGTACAACAACATGCGCTGTGTAGCCACGGCCCGCAGCTATCAGCCCATACCATTTTGGGTAAAATCGGCCAAGTGGTTGAAGAGATATCTTAGAAAAAGGGGGCTCAGCAGCATCGCAGGGTTAGGTTCTACCACAAATACGACTGTAACTCCGCCCCCAGAGCTCCAATCGGCGTACAACAAAATGCGCTGTGTAGCCACGGCCCGCAGCTATCAGCCCATACCATTTTGGGTCAAATCGGCCAAGTGGTTGCGGAGAAAGAGCCGAAAATAGGGGGCTCCCCAACTTACCGGGGGGGTGTCAGCGACGTTCCGGTCATAACTCCTTGCACAGACATCGCCTGATCGCACGTAAACTCGCGATGAGTAGGTACAGGCCATAGCTATCGTTCAAGCCGCTGTGGGGAGAAATCCACCCAGTCAGTGCCATGGTACGCCTACACCCGGCGGGACGGTGTCCCCGAGGGCGGTGTCGTAGATAAGCTTATATTCGACACCGCCCGTTTCTCGCCACACACGGCGCCGATGGACACCACACCACGTGCACTACATTGGTATGGCCCATAGCTACTGTTCAAGTGGCGGTAGAGGTCTGTGTCCATTGGTAGTGGTTTATAAGTAAAGAATTGATCGACAAAGGGGCACCGCAGTTCACACTGTGCGTAGTTGTTGTTCCGTTTGAGTTGCCTGTTGAGCATACCTCAGAAACGAAAACACGAAGAAAACACCACACGGCGTATTCGGTGCCCCCCGCCACGTTTCCGATGTACGCAGCCGCACTGGTATAGTATTTTCGAGACAAGGTGGATTTACATACATCGTAAAATCATCTGAAGTACGTTACTATGTACATTCATGACGCGAACGAGGGGGGGGCCGTCACTGAAAAATTCAAATAGAAGTGTAGGGGTCCGCGGCACCAGGTACGCAGAGGTTCGCGCCTGCGCCTACTCGCATCCCGACAGGAACGCCCCCACGCGGACCACGTGGACGCCCACAAACACGCAAACATCAGTTAAAATGCCTGCGAGGTCGAGCTTACTCGACACGAGGACGGCCAATCCTCACTACGCGGCATTGGCTCAAGTGCGGGAGCACCTCGCACCAACACTGCAGAGAGTCAAGGGGAGCTCGCACGGCCTAGCGGTTGATGACCGTGCGCTGAAGGAGGCAAAGGATCAGGTGGCGAAGGTTAGAGATCCAATTCTCACGCACCCTCTCCCCCCATCGTCCCAGGTGTGCCATGCAGAACCGGTTCCAACACTAGGCTGCTGTGCTGCTGTGATCATGCTGATTGTCCCGCGTTTTGCAGTGGAGAATTCCTCCGCAATTGCCGCAAATCTGCCACAAATCCGAGGTACCGAGGTACAAAAATTCTCAGCGAATTCTTGAATTATTGCACCGATAAGGAAGGATAGAGTGTGGCGGATTTCTTGCGGCGCGGCACTCCCGACAGCCGCACTGGCGTCGTAGCAGGCAATGTAGACAAGATATCTTGGGTTAGGACAGATTGCGATTGCATGTCGCCGATGCCTACTGTTGCCGTTGTATGTACTGCCTCTGTAGTTGAAGAATGCTTCCTCGGTACTTCCTCCCTCTCTTCCGTTTACGTGGGGGTAAGTGTGAGAAGGACCCACCGGTACTGACACTATGTTTTACCCCGTGAGGGTGAAATGACCTGGGATGTTTGTTTGCCGAAGTTGCCGAAAGGTTAGCGAATTTGCGCGCCAATCGTACAGTGTTGGAAGCCGCTGAGCCACTCACGCTGGCACTCACAACGTTGTGTCGGCGCAAACCGTTCTACCCCTTAGTCCGATTACCTTTCTGATTTCTGTCACCATTCGTGTGCGGTTCATTTAGTTCACCTAGCCTGATGCGTCCCTGATGTGCGCTTCTATACCGCCGTGGATTGTGTCGCGCAGACAAGAGCGGAGCTAGTCGCGAAAGGTCTCGACGAGGACATGTACACGGCAGCCTTTATGCAGGGGACACACCCAGAAGACGGCGGAGGCACCGGCACACCGTTCATCACGCTAGGTGACGGCAACTGCCTGTTGAACGCGGTTGCGCTGCAGTATGTGAGGGCGGAGGGGCGGGCGGTAAGGGCCGCCGTCCCACAGTTGGCCGCGAAGCTGCGGCTGAGCGTCGTCCTTGAAGGGCTTCGGCACATGGAGGCATATTTGTCCCTTCAGGAGGATATCTGCTGCTGCTGGGACAACTACACTGGTGATGTTTACGACAGACTC